CGAGTTTGCGATTCCTCGCTGAGCTGAAGAGACACTGCTATGTTACGCCTACTAGTTACTTGACGTTAATATCAAATTTCAAAAAAGTAGTTGTTGTTGGTGAATCTTGCTATCTTGCATTTCCTCAACGCTGAGATACTCCGTGATAAGAGACTAGAAGTTGAGACGTTACGACAGCGATTCCAGAATGGGTTGGATAAGTTGAGCGAGGCTGGGCAAGCGGTGAGTTGGCGATGGTGTGGTATGGAATTATGCCGGAGCTCGGTGAACTAATGGTGAAAATCGGAATTTCAAAATGAGAAAAACCAAGGAAGTAAACTGCATGGAATTTCGTGGCGCGAGAGAATTTGTGATGATCGTGTATATATAGAATTCGGAAGGAGAGTTCCAGAGGGAGATTATGGATATCGTTATTTATGGTAGGTCGCTGTGATGGAGACGGAGTTGGTGGCCATGCAACCTGTGTTGGAGAAAACGTCTAAGGAGGTGAGGCTCTGTTACTCCTAGAATTTATGCGCTCGTTGTGGGCTGATAAGACGCTGGAATGTACACTAGGGGAAGTGTGGTTTTATATTCCTGTAGTAGATATATGGTCAATGATAAGTATATGAATAGTTATGAAAAACGGAGGAATGTTATCTGAATGATATTCGAGAGGAATTTGAGAATAGTATCATAGTTCGCCGAGTGATCGTGGCAGTGGCTCGGCTGTTTTGGCGCTGTTTTTGGAAGTATTGCTGTTGATGTTGTTGAGTGCTCTGGTTAGGTGGCAGAGATGATGGTTGTTATCACAGAGGATAAGGCTAAAGCGGCTATCACACAGGAAGCTGTGGCTAAGCAGGTGAGGAAGGGTGTCTATGGTAGGGGCATATATTCAACGCCATATTCTTCGGATAGTCCTTTCACAAAGATGATAAAAATGTGGCGAATTTTCTTGTATAGGGGTGGAATTGCAATGTCGACTTTGTGTAGGAGAAGGAGGCGTCAGCGCAGGCAGCGGTCGCTCAAGAGATCAAGGATGATGCTCAGAAGGATCTGGACGAGGCCCTGCCGGCCTTGGAAGTGGCTGTGCAGTGCTTGAAGAGTCTCAAGCTCAGTCACATTCAGGAGGTGGGGTTATGAGTTGTTGCTGCTGTTGGTCGTGGAGAAGGTAGGTGGCAGGTGAAAGCACTGGCTAATCCACCGGGCGGAGTTAAACTCACTTTGGAAGCGATATGTATTATGT